GGTTTGGGTACGGGTAAGGGTAGGAGGTAGGACGTACGTACTACTACGTACGTACGTACTTATTCTTTACTTACTTAATTACTATAGTATTAGTTAGTTTAGTTAGTAGTTATATATACTATATATATATATATATATATATATATATATATATATATAGGGTTATGTTATGGTGCTCACACTATGGAGTAATTTAACATTGTATTTGACAAAATTTGGACACTTCAATACCTTTGCTTTGTACATGGAGCATTAAATGCTGCCTCATGTGGATGACATCACACCCCATGTGGATGACGTCACACCCCTCTTAATGACCAAAAATACCCCTATTAAAAAATGCTCCATGTACAAAGCAAGGGTATTGAAGTGTCCAAATTTTGTTGAGTAAAATGTCCGTGTGAGCACTCTAACATAACCCATATATATATATATATACATATATATATATATATATATATATATTTGCACAAAAAAACGTTAGTTGAATTACATATAGATGCATAAAAAAATACAAAATTAACACAAATAACTACATGTATGCGCATTTCGACAGAATGTGTACAATTCTAAAAAAAAATCATCTCAGGGTGCCGAGGTTCTGGGCACCCACCTGAGTGCTTGGCGCTACGCCGGTTGCCTAAGAGTTGCCTAGCATTTTTTAGAACATTGTTCTATACCCAAATAGACTCCTTTAAGAATCCCCTCCTTTCTTTATCTAGAAACCTCATTAACACCCTTCCAATTGCCCATTGATAGTGTTCATGTCCAATAAAAAAACCTAATAACTACAATGAAATACATGTCCCATACTGTGCAACGAAACCGTCATCTCTGCAACCAATTATTTGCTCCACTTCTTCAATGGAATGTTCTAAAATAAAGAGAGATCGAGTGGATGCACAAAGAGAAAATGAATGGTTATTTATAGGGAACAATAGAGAGAGAGAGAGAGACGTTGTGCTGCTTGTGTGCGCATGTGTGTGTGTGTGTGAGAGAGAGAGAGAGAGGCACGAAGATATTGGAAGAGGAGTGTGAGGATCTGGTCAAACAGGATCCCATTAAGTTTCGTTGACAGAAAACCATATGCCACAAGATACACTTTTCAAAATTCTACAAAATTCAAGTCCCACTTAAACTTTGTGGAATTCAGATAACGTGGCTTCATCATGATTACCAAGGAGAGGGTTTTCATCAATCACGCACCTTTTAGTATCATTACTTATTTAGATCCCACGATACTATGAAATATCATGATATTGTGGGGTTATCAAACATACCCTTAACTACGTTAAAAACCAAAAACAAAAAAACAAATTCATGTTACGAATCTTAGCAAGTATAAAAAAAACATACAATTTCCTAATTACTAAAATAAAACATTTTGAAACTTAAAGTATCCTATTAAGCCATACTTGAACCACACGAAATAGGATAATATGAAGAAAAATAGAGAAAAAGACTCTCTTTTACTATAACTCAGCACAAGACTATTTACCTCAAAGCTAGGAGACAAAAAGGCAAAAGAAAATAAGTTTCAGATCACAAGGTTCTGAAAATAGCACCCCAAACATAAAATGAGGAATCAAAAGAGTTAACAGTCAAGCACATTCAATGATGGGGTCAAGACATTATAGTAAACTAACAATTCACAAATTGTAGTGCACCCTTGGCCAGGTATCAAGTGCAATGAGTGGAGCAGCAGCACAAGAACCTTTTGTGAGGTGCTATAGGCAAAAACATTTATCATAATGCAATAGGCGGTGTCATTAGCAAGAACAAGTATGTGATATTGTAGACATCTATTCAGAACTCTACCACAACCAAACACATTCTCCGGGATGGTTCTCCAAGTTGTCTAGGTGACAAATGAAATCTATCTCCAAGTTGGGCCAATGACAACATGAGCCATTCTTATGTGAGGCTGGCAGCTTTTACCTCAAGCAAATTGTTCCAAAATATCATAGTTAAGATACATCAAAATTTTCATGATCCAAATTCGATGAAATTTTGAATGCACCGTCGCTTTTAAATTCCATGTGAGCACCAGACGCTTCTATGTTTTCCTTATCTTCACATGTGGTGAGCACCATTGTAAGCCAATAGAGAAGTCTCCCTTTTTCTTTTGTCTTTTTATTTTTAATGAAAGCGTACTTTTTTTCTAGGTATAGACTCTATAGAATATAAGAATGACCCTTAATAACTTGAAAAAAGATAATCAACATTTCCCAGTCACAAGAACAACCAGAATATTGCATCACCAAAGAAAATATGATCAGTTCTTTTACGGGATCCCAAAAACATGTCCATCAATAAGGGATAATCTCGAACCATTTCCACTTCCAAGAGGAAGAAGTGGGAAATATTCCTCAATCATGTATATTTTTAAGCATCACTTTAAGAATCCGATACATTTAAAATAGATGACTTTCACAACACAAAAGAATAAATTTAACTGATGTTCAAAGACAAAGTAGTAAATAACCATATAATCATTTTTTAAGACTATGGAGAACTATCTGTGCTCCAGCTGTAAGCTTAAAACATGCCATATTGAAGGATAAAAAAAGATGCACACAATCATAGAGTTCAAATTAGGATCATACAATTACAGTAAATTATATGCTACTGCAAAGAATGAACCCAGACTACTGAACAATGTATTTGAAACATGTAAGCATACCAAATAAACAATGACTGACAAAAAAGCATATGATACAAAACAAGAAACTGTAGATAGATACTGCCAGTTTATTTGTATAAAAAAAGGAGCAAGATTTGGAAGGATCAGTAACCTTTCTCTTTCAACATTTTCATCTGCTTTCTCAAGAGGCTGAGAGCGTGGCTTCAAATTCAACTTGGGGCGCTCACTATTTGTATTACTTCCCTCAACCCCAGCTGACCCTAGTGTTTTCTGAGGAGTATTCACGTAACCCTCACCATCCACCTCTGATTGTCCATAATCAGTGGTACTCTGCTGATACCCCTGAAACCATAAATAACAAATTTAAAACAATTTCTCTGATTAACAACATGTTCACAACAATGCCTCAAAATCAGCAACACATCTACAATAATTCCTTGACAGGATAAAAACACTACCTACACAAATCATGATATCAACACACATTAAACAAACTAACATTTGCACATGCACAATTGACATAAAAAACTATTGGAAACCTGTTTGCAATCTTGAACTTGAGTCTCCAAAGGTTCGAGTGGCTTAGTTCTTGGAAGAAGCTTCAACTTGGGCCTCTCTGAAACTTCAGAAACCAAACTGGATTGAAACCCACTTTTATTTTCTTCTCTCAAACCAGGCCCCGCGGGCCCATCAGAGTAAACCCACGAACCAGATTGAAACCCATGGTCAAAATTGTGGGTTCCTCTTCCCCTCTCCTTTGAATCGTAATATGATTGTGATCTTGGATGTTCATGCACTTCCTTCGATTTTGGCTGTTCATGCACTTCCTTCCCATTCGGCCAAACCCCATCATCAGAATTTTGAGAATAGCCTCTCCTCCCTTCTCCACCCATAGCTCCACCTTCGTTATCCCACTTGAAACCAGAACTGTCGGATCGGTGACCCTCCAAATCACCGACATCCCTTTCATTCCCACAATCCGAGTAATGAACTGCCTGAGATTGATTCCCTTTCTCCCTAAAACCAAACTCATCACCGTACCTGCTCTCTTCACTGTAAGACCCGTGATTACCATAGCTCTCATTCTCTTTCTCAGAATATTGGAGCACATCAGTCCCTCCGGCCGAGTAACCCAATGGCTGAGATTGCACGAGCCTTGACTGCCATCTACCCGATGAGACCTTATCCAGAGCACTAGCATTAACCAGGCGTGAAGGCCCCATATTCAAGGAAGCTTGAGAAACCTCAGCTCCTTCTTTACGATTAGTCCAAGCATTAGGTGGGCCTGAAGCCCGAACTTTTGCCTGATCCTTAGGGGACCCAGTAAACCCTAACCCTAAAGTAGAGCTCTGATCGCTCAAAAATGAGGACTTTCCATTAAATCCCAACCCTGGCGATGGGTGATCGCTCAATGAAGAGGACTTTGGGGATGTGAATGGCTTAGTGCTGACTGTGAGATCCAAGTTGAGCTTGTGGCGGCGGTCATCAGCCAGTAGATCACCAGCAGAGCCAGGGCGACAGGGAGGTGCGTCAAGAGGTTTGCGCTCGTCTTCATCAAAATTGCGGCCAATTCGAATAGGGTTCGAGAAGAAATTCGATTTCTCGTTGAGTGCGGAACGTGGAGTTGTGCCTGATGATCCGGGGCGTGTCCGGTGGTCCAGTCTTGCAGGAATTTGACGGTCCATGGTGGAGCGATCCCCAGATCTTACAACACTGGTTAGAGATAGAAACAGATTAAAGAGAGGCGGAGAGAGAAAAAGAGAGATGGGGAAGTAAGATGAGAAAAAAAAGGTGGGCACTTACACGCCTGGGGCGGAAGGGAGATGAAGATCCGAGGGGATGGAACCGCCATGGAAGTCCTTGAGGGTCATGGTGGAGCCGCTGAAGGCCTTCTTTTTCGACATGGTGATCGGTTTGGCACAGAGAGAGAGAGAGTTCTAGGTGGAGGAACGAACCGCGAGAGAGAGACAGAGAGAGCTGCAGGAGCAGAAGCTGCACTACAGCTCGAGGGCGAGGCGATCCCCGAAGATCTGAGAAAGCCGCGACTTCCCAGAGGGTACCGTGGATTTTATACGGATCGTCCCAAAATAAAGGGGGTGAGGTTTGCATAAGGTTGCAACCTTAAATAATTCATTTAAGCAGCACCTCTAAATTTTATAGTAAATGTAATTTTGATATAAAAATTTTTAAAAAGATTCAATAATTTGTTTTCTATCTCTATTTATAAAATTTTAAATTTTAAATATAATTCAAATCAAATAAATTTATAAATACATGAAAATCTTAATAATTGACGATCTAAATAATGTATTGCAAGATACGCTATTTCACATACTTGAAATCTTTTTTTTTTCATATTCAAACATCTCAATATCGAGATGATCACTTAGATGGTTTTCCAACTTTTAAACAACCTTTTATAATGGATTTTTAAGGTGCATCTTTAGTTCTACATTGCAATCTTATTTAAACTTTTTCCAATGTATACAAAATTACTCTAAAATAAGAAAAAGAAAACGAAATCTTTTCTTTTCCTAAAGTGGATATTGGATGGAAGTTTGTTGAAGTACGGAAAGTATAGAGTGAGCAATTTATAAAGCACGAAAAAATTCAAGGGGAACCATGAATCATTATCAAGAAACCCTATACTGTAGGTTTTTATATCGAGCCCAGCCCCTATGCATAGCATGTGAAATCATAGTTGGCAAGTTGAGGAACACTGGTAATGAATTGGTTTTGTTTCAAAAAGTCGGCGGAAAAAATCAGGTTAAAAATACGGATCACCAAAAAATGAGGTGAGTTACAAAGTGTGAATAATTCAAATTTGTTTCAAAAAAATGGAGTGAACAATTTGGATATGTAAGGATGATATAATATAAGATTATGATTTGCAGTTATTGTATAAAATCTATAGATTCATTAAAGCCATTGAACAATAATTTTATGATCTTATCTAGTGTCGTTAGAGTGATATTTGACAATTTATTGTCTAAACGTTCAATAAGTCCAACAATAATGCTTACTCTGTTGTCACAACACGAAACATATCACATATTTATTTGGAGCATAAAAGGAAATATAAATAATACTTAACACAGGAATTACATTAGTAGATAACAAGAACTATAAACTAAGATATAAGATTATTGTTTGAAGAAAAAAAAAACACAAAAAAGGCCCTCAGTATAGGATTGGCAATTAACTAAAACAAAATATACCCAAATACGTAAAATAGTAGTCAATCAAAAATGCTATGTTGTATACACCAATGAAATAAAAAAATAAAATTAATCAAACTTCTCTGTATATAAAGAAAGCTACAAAATGTTTAAGCAAATTTGAATCCCAAGTTGAATTCCTAGCTGCTTAAATCTTTAGTATACAAAATCTTTAAGCAAATTCAAATCTCACACAAAAAAAGAAAAGATTTTTCATTAGGTAAGTCTTCTACCTCTGCCTATTATTTTGAGATATACGATTGTTCTGATATCTTATTTTTTGGGGAATGTATTATCTGTAATTTTTTGGGAATTTTTTAAAGGAAAACTATTGGTGAAACATTTTATGGAATTTTATCTTTAAATAAAAATTCAATAACATTAAGTTAATGAAGAAATAAAGTTATAGGGAAGAAATTTTTTTAACAAAAGTAAAATACGGGTTTCCATCAGCTCTATGAAAAAACACGATTTTTTGAAGATCTTTTGAAAAACTTGGAGTTCTAAACGAATTCAAAAAATCGTGTTTTAAACAGAGACTTGCTAACTATGGGTGAAATACGTCACATCAGGCCAACATGGTTGTCATGTGTTTTTCTACAAACATTCGTGTTGTGTTTAGCTATGCCAGAGCTTCTGTAGTGTTGTGGCAATTCTTGGTTCGACAATCCCCCTCTTTTCAAACGCACTTCCATATATGCCACATAAGCCTTGGTTTCCCATTGAATGAGAAGAGCACACTTATCATGGGAAGCTAGCCCAAGCAAAAATGCAAAAATGCCAATGGAGCCTCGACAGGAGCTTCATGTGTGGAAATGCGTCAATCAACCCACCTCGACAGACCGCACCCACAACTATAACTACCTTGATATGCCCTACTCTGACTTGATGAGAGATGAAAACTTAAGAGTGAGCTGGCTTCATTGAGATGCATCTATAAAAAAAAATATTAAAAAATAAAAAAAAAATGGACCAAAATGCCCCTATTATTTTAGGGATATTCTTAATATACCTTTACAAGCATATATAGGTGAATTTTAGCTAAATCTGATGTACATAAAAAACAAAAATTGGAAATACTAAAATATGCTCTCATAACTAAATGGACACAGTTTTTATGAGTTCTAGGACTCATATGTAAATATGTGTGCCCCTCTTTGTGATCTATTATTGAGATGGATTTTTTACCAAATATTTTGCGTACATATAATCTTTAAAGTGGAGAACATAAATGTATTAAAAATAAACAAGTTTTAAAAGCTAAAAATGATAATTTTTTAAGGAAAATTCTAGACCGTTGATTTTTCTTCTTTTTTTTTTTTTAGAGAGACCACAACATGATTCCTCGGGGCTGCAAATGTAGTGTGTCCCCTGACGTATAAACCACTTTACCAAACTAAAATACTTCAAGTTTGAAACTTCTAGGTTTATCAAACTGCTTACACACAAAAAACTAATGAGGTGAGAAATATTCATACTTCCTCCACCTAATTTGTGCCTAAACGAGGCCAACTTAAAGAGCATGGTATAAATAGGGTTTCGTCACACTATAGAACACAAAATGCTCGACCTTATGGCCTATCTTCTATAGTCCTCTGCTGACTAGAGTCTCACCAAATACTAAAAGAGAACTTGGCAATTATTGACTGGTTCAACCTCCTTATCTCCAGCAATAGTGGCAACTGGCTCAAAAGGAGCCTACGAGCATGAGCTCTGCCATTTGGTGAAAGACATATCCGAGATGCTGAAGAAATTTTCAATCTCAAGAGAGTGTTAATTGACAACTTCCCTATTATAATATCAAAGGATGAGTTAGTGGTTGCCGACTGCCACCAATGAGTGGCCGAAAGCAAGCTGCCGCTTACAGAGGTTCAAGAATAAGAGTTCGAGAAACTTAAGGATCAAGTGGTACGAAGCGAAGCTCGTTGCAAGGAGATGGAGGAGAGAAATGCGCATCTCAAAGCAAGCCCTCGAAGCACAAAAGAAAGGAACTCCATTATGAACGAGATTATTGTACACACTCGAATCTCGACTGGAGAAATTATGAATGGGTTGAAATGTCTCAGGCAGACCACCGGATATTTTAAACCATTCACCCCACCAGGACCCTTTAAGCAAACCTAGCCTCCACCAAACCAACATTGCCCCAATTGGGCAAGACAAGGCAAGACAGACACTGATTAACCTGACTTCGGAGCACTTCAAAAGGGCAGGCTTTGATGTTGCCCCAACGGCCACCAAAGCCCTACCAAAAGTCCGAAGACAACACACCAAAGACACCTCAGTTATGAAACAGGCAACCAGGAGGGGCAGAAGCTTGGCGCCATTCCTAGTTGCACCAGCACCTGTCCAACCAGCACTCAGCTCTAGGCCCCCATGAGCTTCCAAAATGACCAGAAGTCTGGCGGCACTGCCAATGCCACAAGACCCATTCCAAACATCGTTAGGCCCAAAGACCTCCACCATGTGGGAAACAGCCTGGTCGACAAGATTGAGATGAAATGCTCACATGTCAATCTGTGCTCGTCGACTTGGAAGCCATGTCAGAGTTAGTATAGACAATGGTTGTCGAGCTACGATTGGTTGATGATCAAAAGACAGTACAACTAAGATGGCGTGCTAGCTAGCATCCAACGACACTACAAACGTCGTCAGCGCCACTCGAAATAACTTCAAGCTGTGATTGGTCAATCATAACCAAATCAGAGTGACCAGAGCGCAACACGTGTCCAAAACAAGATTTAAAAGAGTTGGAATGTCATTGGTGCCATTGCCAATGGTGCTAGACACTGATAGGGCCGTATCAGCATTAATGAGAAATTAATAGTTATTGACCGTCATTATTGTTGTATTAATGACTTGGAGTCAATGCAAGTGTCGTTGGCGCCACTCTAAATGTCGCCAGAACTCTGTTGGTCCGAAAATCGTGCAAAATCGACCTACAGGCTGTCTTAGGACCATTTTGCCTATAAATAGCCCCTTTGGCCTCAGGCTTAAGGTCCGTGATCTTGATAATTTTTTAGCTTAAGCTATGCCCAAGTTTCCAAAATCTTGAGTTTATATTGTGCACAAATTCCCTTGATCTTGAGCTCAAGCTTGAGGTTGTGAGAAAGCCCCAAGGTGAGCCCATTTCAGCAAAACCCCATTCTATCTAAACCTCCAAATCCAAAACTAAGTTTCTAATCCCATCAAGCTACTTTATCAAACCAAACGAGGTCTGGATAATCCGAATTTCGGGGTACTCTTCCTCCTATTTCTATTTGCCCTGTTAAAAACCAAAAAATTCGGGATTGACTATACAACAAATCGATCTTAATCGACGTTGACTATGGGCGCCGGGCTTAGGAGCACGGCCTAAATGTTGTTTTCTTTCTTCTTTATTTTGTTTTTCTAGTATTTATTTTCATTTATTAATTATAGTTATGACTTTCTTCTTTACTTCATTTTGTGATTTAGCTTTCCGTCCCATCTTCCTTTTCATTTTAGTATTGATCTCCCTTTTGTAATAGTATTTATTTCTCTTTCTCTTCTTCAATTATTTGTAGCATTAGCCTCTTTTTCCTCTTTGCATTTATTTTCCCCGTGATAAGATGCATTTATGTTTCCCCCTTTTGTTCTCTTCATTTATGATCTAACTCTCTCATCTTCTCCATTTAGTATTTGTTTGTCATCTCCTTGTTGCATTTATTTACCTTAGTTATATTTACTCCCCTTGTCCCTCTTTAATATTGTACTCATTGTTCTTGTTTCTTTGCATTTAGTCCTCTCTCTCTTTCTCTCATTCTTCTCTCCCATTTTCCTCGTTTAGTGTTCATTTTTCTTATTTGGTTGTATTTACCCTCTTTTTATTTATTTCTTCTCATCTTGTAACTTAAGTC